TCGAAATACTTGCTTGGGTGAGTTCTATTCATCGCTAGGCCCGAAAACGGGAACACTATTAGTAGCTATGGCAGCAATGAAACCGGTCTTAGGGGTGAAAACTCAAACGTACAAAGTAAAATTCCCGACCATTCATAGAATATTAAAAAGCGAAAACCATTTTGCGGCCTCTTATATGATATTTTTGGGCCTTGTTTTTTGTAAAAAACTACGAATTTCCCTGCTTCGTGGGAAAAGAAACGAAGACAATAAAATCGGCATCTGAAGATGATTAATAATGCCTTCGGTGATCTCAAGATGATTAATGTTCTCTGTGATTTCCTACCTAAACACTAGGCACAAATTAGGTGTTTCAATCAAAAATTTTGTAGCATTTTGCACTAATATGTACGCCAAATTTTTATGTTTTTATTGGCTGACAATAATCGGGACTGGGTAGGCACTGCTTGCAACCGGGAACCCACGCTGATCAAGCGAATCAGTTGGAACTGGAATAAAGTCTGGTTAAATTGTTACAATGATGGTCGAAGCTTTGCTACTGACAAGCGAGCGGTTTTTTTTCAATTGCGAGTAAAAAGCCCATTCTGCGCAGATCAGTAAGGCAAGCATAGCGATTACTAAACGTTATTCTAAAGACAGGAAGAGGAAGGTGACTTTAATACTTAGGCTCTCAACCTAACAATTAGGTTAACTGAAGTGTCTGAAAAAATGTCAGTCGAAGGAAGTTCAAGCGAGCACAAAAACGATTAGAGTGTTGTAAAGGTTGACAAAAAGGCTAGTTTTGAACGCGGTCTCGCAAGCGAAGCCACAACAATTGATACTTTTGGTAACATTGGGACGGAGCTTAAGAACATTTGGATTGCATTTAATTGTCACTGTCAAGGAACTTAACTGACAAGATTAACAGAATGTTAGACACATCTGCTACATCAAGAAACTTCAACCAATTTATAGAAAAGGTTAAGATATAAAGCAGCTGTCTTAAATACACTTCGTAACGAACTTTTCCTGACAACCTGACTGTGCTCAATGCCTCTTTGCGGATTTCATTTCTGCAATTGCTTCTAAAGGGCAAGTTTATTTGTTTGGATAAGTCGACTCTTTTGAGAAGGCTAACAAACAGCTTCCGGCTTCAATGTGTTTAAATAAAGCTCAAGCACACACATCAATAAATTTTAGATTGTGGGTCAGAGTTTCCAGTACTAACTATTGCATAGAGGTTAACATGGAAACATATTTCCCAGCTTCTTTATAGCAGTCACATACTAAAGCGTAATTTGAAATTTGAATCTAAAATTCACCTAGTTTTTACCCCCCACTGTCTATTTGCTTCATATAATTCAGTCACATCTCTAGGAATCCGGAAAAATAAAAAGGTTTACCAGTTCGCAGGGTAGGCAACGTAAGCTCACATAAAACATGGCAGAAAACAATAGCAATGGTGATCCTTTATTGGGTTGGTCTTTTCTAACACTTTCCATTGACGCATTGTGCTAATTCCTCCCTCGTCTGGACTACAAGCCTTTAACAATCACCTCTATGAGTATTTGTGGAAGACGCCGATGACCTTAGCTTATAAGCTGTTCCTTAAAGTTCCCTTTTTCATATATTTCCTAATACACTTCCTGTACCTCAAGCCAAAGTGCAGCGTCTGACATAGTTCATTGCGCACAGAATGTCAGTGCTGTCCGAAACGACTTCAAAGTTGGAAATTAATCATGCCCTACCAAACTTACAAGCTTTGGCTTGAATGCGCTTCACTTTTTTCTGCATCTATATTTCAAAAAAGTCATTTCGATTTATAGTCTCATATAGCCTAACGTACAGTTTAAAAGAGGAATCTACACACGATGTACTGACATTTCGTCAGATAATTAAAAATGGAACCATAATGCTGCGAGTGAAAGTGAATAGCCAACGAAGTTGTAGAATAAAACCCGCAAAAAAGCTGAAACCTCCGCAGTTGTCTACAAAATACGGTGCAACGATAGAAACTGCAAGCACGTTGGAGAAATAGGGTGCAAATTGCAGACCTGCCTACACGAACACAAAACAGCTGCCCGGAGACTAGACGCAAACTGGCAGCTTGCAACACATATCGGGGAGACTGGCCACAACTTCGATATCCAAGGAGCGACCATCGTAGGCCGGGGAACCCCAAAAGCGGAGAGGCTGACGCTTGGGGCATGGTGCTCAGACGCCAACTCTATCAACAGGCACCTAGACCTCTTTGCGGCTTACAAAGCCCTACGCCATTACTGGAGTAAATGACAGGACAAAGACAAACCGCAATTAGCATTTGTAAACTTAGATGGTCCTGTGACGAAACCACCGGGAGAGGGTGCAAGATTACCAGCATCCTCTGCCGTGGGGATGAAAAACAACACTAGCCACCGCCAAGCTATGCCAAAATCCGCACGGAGGGCCAAATGGCGAAGAGAGAAAAATCGATCAGCCCATGGCCAACACGTAC